TAAATAAACCTGAAAATTCAGCACAATTTTTCTGAATTTTAATTGAGTTTTCGCATTCAGGGCGTCGAATAACATAGGAATATAGAGGTTTGGTTTAATATGCAGAAACTTCACGCACGCCGTCAGTTTAGAGTCAAAAATTTCTCATGCATATACAACTTGTATAGCAGCAACCGAAATTGAACGGCGTGCGTAAAAAGCTAACTCAATTTGTAATTTTTGTTCTGCGTACGATATTTATTTGACGCTTCGCTCAATAAAATCAAATGCAAACGCACGCAAGCCAATTTCGGGTGACGCAGAAAAACAAATAATATGGCCCACGTATAAAAACGCCGTGTGTTTATATTAGGTTAAACTGTTAATCATAAAGTAATAAACAAGCTTACGAAATACAAATAAGGCGATTGCAGCTTGAAAAATAGTTTGCAACTTTGAAGTTCTGAGCTGACCTCTTTATCCAATAGGGTATTTTGTTAATACATACATACATACACAAGTACTTATGTAAAATCCATTTGAAATTTCCATGACTTACCTTTAGTACAAATATCTCGCCTGTGGTACGATTTATGTCGAATTTACTATTGGCAGGATTATCGGGATCGATACCTTGGCCTGTCAAAAAGTAAACAATATTCTGCGGGCGATCCTTATCGCCATCGGTGGCGGTGACCTGTTATGCAGTCCAAATCGAAAGCAGTTCAAAGCGACAAGAACAAAAATAAGATGATTTTTGTATTAATATGAGGAAGATATATTCTTATTCAATTTAATATCTTAAAAACCAACGTCAGTTAAATACTTAAATGTACGTTTGCAGTGCAAATGCGTGCAGTTTAATATTGTATGAAATACGTACATATACTTACATACATATGTATGTAGGTATGTATGTATGTGCATGCATGGTTAGAAAAGCATGCAGTTAAATATTGCATGAAATACGTACATACACAAAATATACGCATGGGCATAAATGAACTAGCAGTTAAAAATGAAAAATGGCTTTATCACAGAATTAACTTCTTCTATTTCCAAATCTTCCACCGAAAGATATAGAAGTGTGCTGGTTTTCTTTCGATAAACTGAAAACGTTCAAATAATTCTGCTCTAAAGAGTGACTATTGCAAATTCAAAGAAATTTCATTTCTATTTCTGTTCTGAATGATATACTTAATTTTGGTTTATAAGAAATAAATACAAAATGAAAAATTGTGTTAAATAACTTTAATCAATTGTGATCAAAATGTCTAACATATGTACAATCGTATAGACATTTACCGCCCAATTCTGTGTTTTCTTGATAATTTGTTTGTAAAAAAATTTTATCAAGTAAAAGTTTCCTTCGTGTTCTGTGTCAATATTTATAAAACAAAAAGCTCTACGATTTCCACATGAGTGGAATTGATTGGATTATCACATATGAAAAATATGAATTTAAAAGCAAAAAAGGTTTTTACTGCCGTAGTCGCAGGTTCAAATGCCGGCACATGGAGTCTTTAATTGTTAGAAATAAATTTACTAATAAACAAAATTTATAAATTTCACATGAAATTTCAATTTGTCAATAGCATTTTCAATCTTGATAATTTATCAAGAAAATAGCTTTTGATTTTTATGCTAGAATACCAATTCTTGATAAATAATATAAAATTAACAAATTATAAAGATTTTCAATTTATCAAGTGCACAGAATCGGGCTGTGAATGTATCCATGTGTTGCTTTTCCTACACTTAGAAAAGTTAGCTAAAAATATTACTTTCAACACCTAATTTAGTAACTATAACCAAATAATGTAACTATAACCAATCATTTGTTGAGAGAAACACATTTAGTTGTCGTAACTAAACTCCTTTCTCAGTGTAAAATATAATATGTAGGTTTAGTGAAGGACGCCTTTGTTGTTATAATACTATTATAGACATAGGCAACATTGCGGATGAAGTGAGCCACGAGGTCGGAGACTCGAATTTTTATTTTTTTTTCCTACAGTTATGACTTTATGGTATTTGTGGACTTTTTTCAACAAATTTAACTCTAAAAAATTAAATTAACTTGGAATAATAATATCAAACGAAATAAAAAAAAATAAAATACAAGTTTTGTGGAACTTGCTCAGATACCCGGGTATCAACCTGGTTCCTATTAACAGGTATATTCTGCGCTGGTAACATAAATTTTGTAACCGGTAATTAAAGTGTCTGTCAATTTTTAAACCTTTTTCGCATTCTGTGCGCTCTTGTAAACGGTAAATGTGGTTACCATCTCATAAACTATAACAAAATATTGCCCCGTGCAATAGCTGAACTGCTGAATATTTTCACTGCATTACCAACGTACCTAGAATCGCGGTGACAAGAAGTGGTAACATTTTTTGGTAATACAATTTTCCGGTCACAAAATCTTCGGTAAGGTGCAGAATAGACCTGTAAGAACCCTGCAAAAAATTGTGCGACTAATCTCTAAAGAGAGTATTCCGAGATTACTCTGAATCGGGTACAATTCGGCATTAATTAGTCGCAACTAGTCTCGTCCCTTATGGGTATAATTGGAGATCAATTAATCCCCAACTCATCTCTAACGGGTACTATTAACGATTGAATGATGTGTACGTACTTAGTCATTGAAATTTTATGTGCGGCGTTGGCACACAGAGAGAGTATTCGGCTGGCGCAAATTTGTATTTTTATTTTTTAAAAGTGACTAGTCGCTTTTCATACCCTTTCGGATATAAAGGTGAACAATTAGTCTCTTCATAGGACAT